CCTGCATTGCAGGCCAGGCCAGCCTCTGGCTTCTTTACTATTCCTTCCATCCAGGACCAACTGCAGATACTTCCTCAGCCTGACAAAGGGGTTTTCAACCCTCAAGTTTCCAAAGATACTTTCTTTCTTTTTTTTTTAAGTACTCCTTTTTTTTTTTTCATAATACACATATAGACATAAAAACAAGATAAGCCATCACACACCATGACTAACTTCATATGTCCAACACAACACCTTTACTTCTTGCTGTCAATTCCTTTATAAAAAGAAAGGCTCTGTGACAGTTCTGTTTCGGTACCTTTGCTGCTGCTGCTGCTACTGGTATTGAGCCGGCTAAGTTATTTTACCTGTTGTCACGTAAAGTGGAGGACTGGGCATGAGGCTGTAGGGGAGGAGGCGGCCTCACTGGGGCACACTGCCATGTTGTGCAGAGGCCCCAGTGCCTGGAAGGGCGCACCTTAACACACACACAGTGTCACCCACCCACATCACGAATTTTGCCTGTCAGCAGCTCGGGGTGCAGAGCCCCGGACAACAGACCCCCCCCCAAAGAGACACACATACACAGCTGGCAGGCTTCGTGGCCTGGCAGGGCCCAGCACTCTGGCATGCACTAGATTTAACCCCCCTGTGCCCCAAGACAGATGCAGCAGTCACCCAAGCACCCACTCACATGACGAGTTTTGCCTGTCAGCAGCTTGAGGTGAAGTTGCCCCCAAACCCCTGCACCGATCTTCTTGAAACCTGGTAGGCTTCATGCTCTTAGCAGAGGCTACCATCCCTGCAAGTTGCACCCAAATTAAAGCTAAAATAACAAAGTTATAGATATTTCATTCATATCCCATTATAACCCATAGCCAAATCTCCGAGGCAGCTCCTAAGCTTCGCCCGATCAAAGCGGCAAACCGATCCAGAGCTCTGGATCAGATCATGGCCATCCGAAGCAGCCAGATCCGAAGCCGGATTGGATCGCTGCCGACTCGCACAGGCCTATTTATTATAGCCAGACACTGGTGTACAAGCCAGGATGTTGCCACAAGCTGTGTTAGTCCTAAAAAGAAAACCCAGAGGTAGTAGGAAATAAAGAGGTAAAAGTTCAAGACTTACAGTGGTGACTGGTGAGCTTCTTCCCTGTAAAGTAGTATGCAAATGAGATGCGTGAGTAAATCACAAATGGAGAAGGATACAGTGTGTAAAAGGAAAGGGTACCAATTGCTGTGTTAAATGCCTGAAGTCCTTGGTTTCATCAAGAGGGTGTACTCACTGGAAGAACCAAAACCACTGAGGAATAGTCTGATGAGGTCTTTCAGAGGACAGAAATCTCAAAAGAGCTCAGGATAGTTGAAAGAGTTAGAATTTCTTAACTGTCCCATGACATTTCTTCATGCTTCTACAGGACTTCCCTAACTTTAAAGCAGAAGCTACAAGAGGAACTGAATATGCTTATTGCTCTGGGGATCATAGAGCAAGCCAAAGAATCAGAGCAGATCAACTTGTTTACCTTGGAGTCGGGCGGGAGGGCGGATGAAACACTTAGAAAATGTTCGTTTTTGTTTTGTTTTTAGTTTGGTTTTTTACAACTTTTACAGGGACAAGCATGAGAGGACAATGCTGATACCAAATCTCTCTATGCTTGAAGTAACAGCCAGGTTGTCGCAGGTACTTTTTTTTTTTTAAGAGCATTTGCAGTTCCCAGAGGGGATGTTGAATGTGCACGTCTTCAATGCTTGGGCTGCATTCCATCCCTGAGGTATTTCACCTGAAGATGAAACATTTTTAATGGCAGTGAGGGTATCATGGCCTGCATAAAGGAAGGATCGTATTTCATCTGTTAAGCACCTAAGTGTGATCCTAGTCCACCCTGCTTGAGTCTCTGAAAACAATAAATTTATCATCATAAAAAGAGAACCCAATCTTGTACTTTAGTAAAGTACTGTCACTTTAGCCTGAAGACAAAGTCACTTAAAATACAGAGAACCCAGCCACTCATTTTTCAGGGGCTTGAGCAGGGTGGAATAGGATCATATTTGGGCATCTAAATGCATTAAGCATCTACTAAGTGGAACAGGATCTAGCCTAAAGTCTTGATCTTGGGGAAAAACAGTGTCCCCTTTATGGATGCAACCTTGAAATTGATGGCTGCTAGTAAGTTTCATCAAATTATTGTGCAGACGTAGTACAATTACATTGTACAGTAAATAGTGGGGCAAAAAGATGCTATGCACTTAAGTGGTATATATATACATTTAACAACTGATATGCAGGTAATCAAAGTTTGTTATAATGTAAGCTTTGCTATAGTGTACAAAATGCTATCAGTGTTGTATTATGTAGTTGAGCAAATGTATACACAAATAAAGTTGACTGAATGCTCAAATAGAGAAGGAATATAAAATTGGGTGAAATTCATGGTTGGGCATTTAACAAAAAATGCTATGCAGCAAGGTCCAAAGATAGATACTGTATGTATCAACCAGATTTAACAACAAAACACAACCCATCCTGCCTTAGGCAAAATGTTGACTGATTACCAGAGCAACAGCTCAGCACAAGACCCTGCAGAAAGCAAGTAAAGCTGCTAGCCTGAAGTCTAAAGGAGAGAAGGCCCATCTCCTATTTTGCATTCAAGTGGGATATATCAGAGCTAGGTAGAGTTCTGTTTAAAAGCATCAGAATAGTTATCTCTAGGTTGTTACAGAAAGTTATGTTAGAGACATAAAAATCCATTAAGGGACTAAAAATGTAAAAGAGCTACTGTAAACATATTTTATTTGGTCTCAAATGAACAAGGACACTGAAGAAACAGTAGGGTCTCCCATGTATGCCAAAAAATCCACATTAGTGACAGAGGGAACATTGGTTCCCTAGAGCAAAATACATATTTATGTGCCTAGAGACTAAATAAACACTATTAAATTAATTTGGCTCATTTGCAAGTATATACAGGTCTGAGCTAAATAAATGCTGATTGTTCATTGCTGTGTTTTCTGAGGAGATGATGTGGCCTGCGCTATACAAAGCCATTGGAATGAAGACTCTGAATGAGGCTGATCTATGTGAAGAATCTTGTATCAAAATTCCTGAATATCACTCCACTCTCTTAATTAAAGGCCTACATGTAGCTGACACTGCAGCATGTCCACTGGTGCTGTGTATGATACCCTGGGGGAGGAGGGGGGCTGCTACTCCATCACCCAATTCTCCCCTCCCATGGTCCGACCTGCCTGCTGACTCCTACCCTGGCTCCACTTCACCTCCAGTCTCTCACCTACCACACCTTTTGTGTTACTCTGCTTGTTGCTGAAGGAGGCAGTCCTTGGAACAGAGAGTAACTTTGATGGTTGTCTCACCTGGGGCTTGTTGTCCTCTTCAAGTGCTTCCCTTCTAAGAGAGTACTCCTGTAGGCTTCTGAACACTTGCCAGGGCCTCAGCTGATGCGGCCATGACACCCTTTCCTCTCTTCACACCCTCCACCTTGGTCTACTGTTTAAGACCTCAGCTCCTGGGCACTGGCCCTGCCTCGGCAGCAGCTTTTTCTCTGGGGCTTCAGTTTTAATGCATCAGTCTCCACCCCTTTAGCTTAAAGTTAGCTCCTGGCACAAATAGCTGGGAAGTGCCACCCAGGCCTCCTCCACCCCTGTAGCTACAAGATGGTCCTCCAGTTTCAAGTTCAAGCAGAACAAAAACACAACCTAGCTGCTTCATAAAACAAATAGTGTTCCTTCCTCAGGGTAACTTTGCCTGCAGTTTTACCTCCTCCAGAGACATCTTACCTCCAGCTCTCCTTTGGCAAAGAGAACAAAAAACAAGCTTCAGTTTTTGTCCTGTATGCAGGAAGTTTTCCCACAGCCAGCTACATTGTAAGCTGTTTGGGAAAGAAGAGAACAATTTTTCCTGTAGGCTGCTTGTAGGTTGCATGTTGACCACACCAAAGGTCTTGGTGCATCTACACGTATATTAGCGCTTCAGTTAATGCACATTAAATCTAGTGCCAGCATTGTGAAGTACTAAGAAAATGTGCATTAGCCTGTCTTAATGTACATTAACAAAACAGCATGGGGCATTTTTACAAGTGTTGTGGGACGCGGCACTGTGTGCTTTAATTAATGAGCTAATTAAAAGCACCCACATGTCACATGTATCAGCATCCCCATGCTAAAAAAGTGCCAGTGGAGTACTTGGAACTAAAGCTTATCAAATGTGATTTATTTCAAAGTGTCCCACTGACATTTTTCAGTGCAGAGTGGCGACACTGATGCACCTGACGTGGAGCACGTCAATTTTTATGCTCCAGCAGACTTGATCAGCAGACTGGATTCAGCGCGTCAGAGCAGACTCCATGCATGTGTATAGGAGCCCATGGTTTTACTGATGCTTAACACGCATTAGCCTACTTTAATGTGCATTAACTAAATAGCATGTTTTTTCAGTAACGCATTAATGCACATTAAAATAGGCTAATGTGCATTAAAGTGCACATGTAGATGCATCCAGTTTTCCATACCCTATCGTTAGCACCTCCCCCCTCCACACACACACCCACCAACGCATGCACGCTGCTAAAAGCTCCCATGGCACTGATTTATCCGGTACAGCGTGACGCCTATGCTCAGAATGAGTCTTCAGTAAATTACAGTCAAGGTTGAGAAAGACTGGAACTTTCTAAGTCTTCTCCTGTCTGCTTTTGTCCCAGGTCCATTATCCTTGTCCATATCCAGACTCTGAAACATCTGTATTCTTCCCTAATTAAGACAGAGTCAATATACCTGCTGTGGTCTATCTGGCAAACTTTGCAAAGGCCTCAAATATCAATATGTTCATTGCTGAAGGCTCACACTTATCCAAACAATTCTTGAAGCCCTGTGTTATATGCAGAAATAAAACACTCCTCCTCAAGTCTTTATGCAACCATAAATTAGCCATATAGTTGTCTGAGGGACAAAAAGTAATCGAAGGGCTGAAGTGGTTAGAGAGACTCTTAAACTATATTTATTCTGTTGCCACATTTTTTCCTTCACTCTTTACTCAGCCTTCTGTAAAAATGAATGCATCTATGAAATGGAACTACAAACAAAAATAGACAAATAGTTAATCTGGAGGTTTTCTGAGTCTTTCCTTTAAAATTGGTGTCAGTGGCCTCTCCTCCACCTCCAGCGGCCTCTCCAAACCAGAACAGGATGATATTTTTCATCGACACCTTGTTGATTCAATCAAAACCAACATTTTTTTTTAAATAAGAAAGAAATTTTTCATGAAAAACAATGAAATGAAACATTTGGAATATTTGATTATAGAAAATTCTGAAAATACATCTAGTATACAGAGATAGAGCAGAGCACTTAGGTATGGAAGTGTGTTTTTTTGCCAGCTGACATTTTTCTAAAATAGGGAAAAAGCAGATGAGAAGCAAGAGTCAGAGGTTCTTTTCTTCAAAGACCTTCTCACCATGTTAGAGTGATAGGCTTGGCAGACTCCTAAACTGCCTTCCTAGATCATACACACCCGGAGAGACTGCATTCTCCTACCCTTGAAAGCACTTTTCCAACATCTAGTACTAAATATGCCAAATGTTTACTAATGTAGTCAAACATTATAAACAATGTCACGGAGGCAGGACCCAGCCTGGCCTGCTCACGCACAGACAAAACTCGTGACATGGGTGCTTGTGCAACTGACTGTCTCTGTCTTGGGGCAGTTGATTGTCTGTGTTGATTATTTCCTCTCCTTAGTCTGTCCTTTTGTAGATGTTAATGAGTTAATGAGCCTACAAAACCACAAATTAAGGAGAGGAAATAATCAATACACTCAACTGCCCCAAGACAGACACAGTTGCACAAGCATCCATGTCCATGAGTTTTGCCTGTCAGCAGCCAGAGGTGCAGGGCCCCAGAACCCAGAAGCCCTGCACCTATCTCCTTGACAGCTGGCAGGCTTCATGGCTGCAGCAGGGGCTACCACCCCTGCAGCTTTCACCCTGCTGCGCCTTAACACACACAGTGTCACCCATGTCATGAGTTTTGCTTGTCTGCAGCGTGAGGTGCAGTTCTCTCCAAACCCCTCCATTTATCTCCGTGAAACTTGGCAGGCCTTATGGCCTGAGCAGGGGCCACTACCCCTGCAGTTTTCAGCCCACTGCACCTTAACACACACAGGGTCATCTAGGTCACAAGTTTTGCCTGTCAGCAGCTTGAGGTGCAGTTCCCCCCAAACCCCTGCACCAATCTTCTTGAAACTTGGCAGGCTTTGTGACCTCGTCAGGGGCTACCACCCCTGCAGTTTTCACTCCCCTGTGGTGTAAGACATAACACGTGATATGAGTTTTGCTTTCAAGAATTTGGGGTGCAGTTCCCCCCGAAACCCTGCACCAATCTTCTTGAAACTTGGCAGGCTTCATGCTCTCAGCACAGAGGCTACCACTCCTGCAAGTTTCATCCAAATCAGACAAAAATCAACAAAATTATAGATATTTCATTGATTCCCCATTATACCCTATGGCCGGATCTCCAAGGCGGCTCTGAAGCTTCAGAGCCACTTTGGCCGGATTGAAGCAGGAACCCAGTTTGGAGCTCTGGATCAGATCACTGGTGTCCAAAGCAGCTGGATCCAAAGCTGGATCAAATAGCTGCCTACTTGCACAGGCCTATCAGAAGCAGCATATTAGTTGGCAGCAACGTTCTCCCTGTCTCTGAATAAGTGCTTCACTTTCACTAATTTCTTACTTGTGAGTGGAGATGCACTTAGATTTTTTCAAAACACAATGAACTTATTTTTGTCATAAGTTGAGGAACATCTGACTAAAATGCTGATTGATCTGGGTAGAGTGACAACCAGATCTAGTAGCTCCAAAGAGTTCCACAGCGGAAACCCCATGTGCTGCACATTTTTTGCCTATGTCGAGATCGCCAAGTATTACCACATAATAAAAAACTTTGTTTCCAAACGACATCACCCTCCTTCTCCACCTTGTTTCGCTAGGAAGTTTCACTGTTACCATCAGAGACACAACTGCGCAGTTTTTTGCCACAGATGGTGGCATGTGAGGCAGTGGCCATAGCTGAGCTGCCAGTGGCAACCTAGTGGCCAGGAGAGCAGCAGGTGTAATTCTTGTGCCCTTCCCCTCCATACTGGTTACCATGTTCTTACCATGCTTTTCTTCCTGATGCTTCTTACAGGCTACAGCTACAATAGAAGTAATATTTACAGTTATGACTCTTTTGTTCTTTTATAGCTCATTTCCAGTTTCCCCAAATTCATGAAATCCTTAAGTGGGTTTACACCATGCTTGTTTTGCGGCAATACATGCATATTTGTCTATTGTGATGTCCCATGCTGCTTTCCTACTGCTGGCATTTCTTCCAGTCTTCTCCCTCTTTTTGCTGAGGGAGAAAAAGAAAATAATGTGGGTTTCTCTGTGATAGGTCTTGTTGATTCTTCCTGGAGCTCTCAGGGTCAGGATGTTAGATTAGGATCCATCCGAGCTCTTCAAGATACTCTTCCAAGGCCCTGAAGACACAGGCCTCTTGCTGTCACCAGTGACTAAGTGCAAGCAAATAGACAGCAGATTTATAAGAGGGAATGTGTCTGGGAGGAGTGGGCTGCTTGGCAAGGCCAGCTGAAAAGAAGATTGCTTCAGGGGAGCCATTTCCTTCCTCCACCCCTGCCATCCCCACTCTTGCTCCCATAGTCTCCATCTTACTCTTCACTGCCAGGGCAGAACTGACCAGAAGTAGGCAGGATCCGTTAAGAAAGGGCTCTGGGCTGTACCCACTCCCATTCCCTAGTCCAGCGGTTCTCAACTTTTTTTGTACCAGGACCCATTTGTAAACATTGATGGCCAGTCCCAACCCAGTGCCCCTCATTCCCAATCTGCTTCCCCCAGGCCCCAGCCCCACAGTGTGTGGGGCAGGACATGGGTGTGTGGGGTATGGGGGGCCCCAATCAGACCCAAGCAGCCCCTCACAGACTGGATCTCTGCCAACCTGCAAGGAAAAGCCACAGTTTCCCATGGCTTTCTCCTTTAAAAGCAGAATTTATTTTTAAAGTTTGTTCGTGATTTTTTCATATATTCTTGCAACCCACTTTTGGGTTGTGACCCTTGGGCTGAAAAACGCTGCTGTAGTAAACATGCTATAGCTCTTACGATAGTTAGATAGGTAAGTATGGAATGCAGGTCTACTGGATGTAGACATTGTAACTCTGCATAGTAGAAGTTTTGAAACAAAGCCAATCCATTTGCATTATGAATTAATTACTTCAAAGAATTCTGAAGGACTGACATACAACAGTAATAAACTCATTTTAAATGTTATTCTAAAAAAAAAAAAAAAAAAAAAAGGTTCAGTGTTCAACCTAAGAGAAAGTATTTCACACACAAATTTCTTTTCAATTGTTCCTGTTTTTCCATGCCAGGCATTGCAGGTGGTGGGGCAGGTTGAAGAAAAAGCTCCAGTTTTTCCCCCCAAAAGTTTCTGTTTCTTTTTTCTGATCCGCACGTCTCTGTTCTTGTGTCCACTGCCCCAGCTGGAAAGCTGTTCAAGAACCTCATTCTTTTGTAGGTCGGAAACCTCCTTTTATTTTCTACCCTAAATTTATTTGTGGTAGTTTATATCCAGTCATTCTTGAGCCAACATTACCTTTTAGTTTACAGGGCTCTTCTCCTCACAATGAGTGACATTATAAGGGGACATACTATAGTAATTGAACCATTTAGTGTGGTATAACCTCATTATACTGAATCCTATATATAACATCCCCCTTTTTTTTTTTTTTTTCCAACAGTCCCAAGAGCCAGAACCAATTTTTTCATTGGTACGATACAGAAAATTGGCTAACCCTATTATGGTAAACATATTTTTAAATGATCTTTTCCCCCTGGTTCCTAGGGGTTGTACTGATTTTTTTTTTTAGTTTTACTTTAAAAATTTGCAAGGGTAGCACTTAGTACTAATTCATACAGAAAAGAAGATCAGATGTCTCAAAATGTTATTTTAGACACAAGTACTACTAAAATGTCATTAAATAGTGTGAAAATAATACAAATATTAAAAAGTGAAAAATCCAACCAGTAACATTTAAAAGGAAATTGCAGAATGTTAAGACTTTTTTTTTTGAAACTGAAACTTTTCATCTTGTTGGAACTTTTGAAAATATTTCTTTGCATGCCAAATTCGAATGAACATCAAGTGTAGTATACCCGCTGCTGCTTTTTGTGAAACAGCGAGTGTTTACCACCTTTTCTCTCAGCAGGTGATCAAACAATAATCTTAACATTGGCTCATTTACTCATCTGCATAAAAGAGCATTTTTGACAACTTACTCAAGATTCACATTCCTGGATGGAGAAAAGACAAGGTGCTGGGAATACAGTTCAAAATTCACCTCAGCTAAGCTAAGCTATCCGAGTTGCATCCCCATCTGCTGGGAGCTGATATAGCTCCGCTGAAATGAACAAAGAATTTACACCCACTGAGAATCTGAGCTGTTCTTTTCATCAGCAATCAATTGTTATTTTCATGATTTAAATACCTGCTTTAGCTAATCCCACTGGTTTCCCATGCTGACAGGTCTCCCTGGCAGTTCAGCTGAGATCCTGACCCCTTTTATCCCCAAACCTTTCATTTTTCCCTGCTCTGCTCTGGCTAGGTTCATCCTGTTACCTGGATCCTCCAGCTCAGTGTGCTGCCAGCCCAGTTCACCAAACCCTGACTATGCCTAGCTGCCTAGTTACACAGCTGAAAAGGGAACACAGTGTACTGCAACTCGAAATGCAAACGTGCACTAGGATGTTCAGCACAAACTCCATTTCAAAAACATAACTGACCTGCAAATAAAATGATACTCCGCTGAGTTAAATGCTTTGCCTAACCCGCAGTGGAGCTGTAAGTGTGTTGCTTTGTCTCTCCCAAACTGAAACTCAGCACAACAGCTCTGTGCTTTAATGAAGGGCAGTTCTACTTAGTGACTCCACCCCATGATTCTCTCTTTCCCACTGGCTCACATGCAAGGGGCAAGGGTGGAGGAAAAGATTGCAAACTGAAAACTAACCTTGAAAGAAAGATCAGTAAGTTATTTACTTTCTGTGGAGCTAGGACTGCTTCTAGGCATTCATTAGCCCAGGGGCAGGCCATTATTTCAGCTGGGAGATGCTTAACCAGTTTTGGTGAACTGCCAAGGGCTGCAAGAGTGGCCCTGCCCCTTGACAAGTGCCCCACTTCCCTGGTCCCCATCTTGGAAGCAGAAGTCCCTTCCCTTGCCCCTGGAAGGGCTCCTTTTGGGAAGGGGGTTTGCCATTTTGGAACCAACCCCCCCCCAAATTCTATAGTGTAGGATCCAGCAGCTGCACCAAGAACTGCTCAGCAGCAGTGAGGGGGTGGGGCTGCTTTCCCCCTGAGCCAAGCAACAGTTTCTGCCTGGCCACTGCTGCTGCTCAGCCTGGATAGGCAAGCACAGAGCGGGTGTTGGGTCCCAGGCTCAGCAGTGGCAGCATGAGCTCAGCTCAGGGTAAAAGCAACTCCTCCTCATTGCCGCTGCGGGCACTTCCTGGTGTAGCCACCTGGGGCCCACATGAGGCTGCTCTGAGTCTGCTCTACACTGCCACTGCTGCCCTGTGGGGAAGTCCAGAGGTGGCGGTGATGCCATGTAGACACAGGGCAGCCCCGCAAGGGCTCTGGGCAGCTACACCAGGAAACACTGGCAGCGGGAGGGGGATGGGCCACTTTTACTCCATGCTAAGTATCTAGCTTTAGCCTAGATGTCAGGAAAAACTTCTTCACAGTAAGGATGCAGTGCCCAGAACTGGACACAGTACTCCAGCTGCGGCCTGACCAATGTCATATAGAGGGGAGGATCACCTCCCTGGACCTGCTTGTGATGCATCTGTAGATGCACAACAAGGTGCGGTTAGCCTTTCTGACTGCTACCTCACATTGGTGGCTCATGTCCATCCTGGAGTCAACAATGACTCCAAGATCCCTCTCAGCCACTGTGTTGACAAGAAGGGTGTTCTCCAGCCTATAGGTGTGTTGCTGGTTCCTTCTCCCTAGATGCAGCACCTTGCACTTGTCTGCGTTGAATTACATCCTGTTCTCTTCTGCCCACCCCTGTAACCTGTTTAGATCTAGCTGGATTCTGTCCCTCCCCTTCAGTGTGCCCACTTCTCTGCACATCTTTGTGCCATCAGTGAATTTGGACAGCGTGCTTTCCACACACACGTCCAAGTCACTGATAAAGATGTTGAATAGCACAGGCCCGAGGACTGAGCCCTGGGGAACTTTACTGTGCAGATCCCTCCAGGTAAACAATGACCCATCCACCACCCCTCTCTGGGTGCGACCATCAAGCCAATTTGCCACCCATCTGACTGTGCAGGCATCAATGCTGCAGTCACCTAGTTTTTTTTATGAGAATGGGGTGAGAAACAGTGTCAAAGACCTTCTTGAAGTCCAGGTAGATGCCATCCACCTCATCTCCCGCATCCAAGGACTTGGTGACCTGATCATAAAAGGAAACAAGGTTAGCCAGGCAGGATCTGCCTGCAATGAACCCATGCTGGTTGCCCCTGAACATTGGCAGGGCTAACCGGACCTTGTCATGCATCCACTGGTACATCTCAAGTAGGGCCAAGGAGGTGATGCTCCCCCTCTATGCGGCACTGGTCAGGCTGCAGTTGGAGTACTGCGTCCAGTTCTGTGCGCCCCGCTTCAGGAGGGATGTGGACAACATGGAGAGGGTCCAGAGGAGGGCCACCCGCATGATCTGGGGACAACAGGGCAGACCTTACAATGAGAGACTGCGGGACCTGAACCTGTTCAGTCTTCACAAGAGAAGGCTGAGGGGGGACCTGGTGACCATCTATAAACTCACTAGGGGGGACCAGAAGGGTTTGGGAGAGCCCTTGCTTCCCCTAGCACCCCCTGCATAACAAGGAATAACGGCCACAAGTTGC